AAAATATAGGATTTAGGTGGAGCTATGAGGTTACACACTCATGCACAGTAGGTGGCGGTATGCACCTAAAAGTTGTTTGCGATCCGCCATTAATTCAAAAGAAGAAGAAGAAGAAGAGACTGGACGTGGAGGAGTCCAGCTGCAGGTTTCCGGTCTTCAGTTCTGGGTCTACACAGTCCCCTCAGGAGGACATGGACCGTGTGGACGGACTCGGACCGCTGGGGATCCACGGTGAGCCTCGGGTCCGGTTCCACAGAGCAGCTAGCAGTAGCTCAAGATGTCGGCCGCTCCTCCGACAGGCAGACATCTTGTTTCTGTTCGGACTTTAAACTCGTTTATTCTTTATTTATCTGCACACAAAGCGCTCACAGGCTGCAGGCCGAGCTCAGGACCTGAGCTGGACCTGAACACGTCATAGAACAAAGACCCGCTTCACGAAACTGACCTCAGCGGGACGAGCGCGACGCCATGTTGGACAGGGCAGCGCCATGTTGGACAGGGCAGCCTGTCGGTAAACCATTCATTAAGGACAGATTCCTCAGTAGAACTGCGCAGAAACCTTTTACCAGGCACTGTTTTGTCTGTATTATTTTTGTGTAAGTTTGTAGCATTAATACGGCTCATGGTCCTTGGTTTTCTGTTCAGACTGTTTATGAACACAGTTTGGTCATTTTCCTGCTCAAACCTGTTATTCTTCAGTCAAAGAAAGTACTGAAGGTTTTCTCCAGTAAACTGTTTTCAACAAACACAGTTTGCACTTGGCTCACTTGGAAAGAACTCATTTACCTTTAATAATGTTTTTAGGACTCATTTTAAAGGTAAAAATGGTAAAATTATTATTTGACTTATTCCAGGTCTGTGGTAATGTTTCCTCCTTAATTTGATCAAATCAGCCTTTTCCTTCTATCTCTTTGGTTTTTATTCTATTCTAGAATTAATTTAATTTATTTTATTTTATTTTATTTTATTTTTTCAGTGAGATTTCAGTAACAGATGAAATCCTTTGGGATGAACCTATTTCTATTTTTACTTTTGGAAAAGATTTATATTGGTTTCTGTTTTTAGATCGCATCAAAAGAAAAACAGAGAAGTGCTGAGAGTAAAAAGGAGCAAACTTTTTCTTTTACAAACTTTATCCGGACCAACAGTGGGTTTTTGTAGAGGCTGTCGCTGACAGCAGGACCTTTACCACGAGTTGTTGGATTAAAAACAGTGTTTCTGGAGCTGTCAGGTCTTCAGCCGGTTTTCAGCTGGTCTTCAGCTGGTCACCTGAGGTAAAAACTAAAAGGATTGTTTTAGTCAGTCTCCTTTGGTCAATAGAAGTAATCACAGTTATCAAATTAAAACTTAAACAAATGTAAAGTTTTTTTAACAAACTTATTTAATATTTTTACATTTTGATAAATACTTTTGAGACATTGACAGTTAGAAGGTGTCGCCCTCTTAACTCCAGAAATGTAACGTCATTATAAAGTTAGTGTCTTTATTTCCTCCTCCTGATAACAGCAGAGAACAGTTGCAGCTTTTCCTGACACTTCAGTGACACAAACTACTTTATATATATATATATTTTTTTAAATTACAAACCTGCCACAGAGACCGATACGTTGTTCAGATTTATTCACCTTTTCATATTTTTACACACATCCTGTCAGTGGCAGGAGCTGATTTCTGCCTCTGGTATAAATATTACTTTGTCCAATTTTTAGATTATTAATACATGATGGAGGAAATTTAACTTTCAATAAATGTTTCATCAGAAGCTGAATAAGGAAATCCTGGTGTTACACCATGAACTGACTGTAGGAGGCGCTGTTGTTTCTAGAGGACAGAACAAAATAACTTAAAACTACAAATGTTTTATTTGTTAGACAGATTGATTTCTTTTTTAAAGACTATTTCTTTCAAAAATATATTATTTAAATGAGTTCAGCTCATGTAACCATTTAAAAATTTTTTACACAGGAAACGGGGGAAATTTTTTTTTTGGGGGGGGGGGGGGGGTGATGCTAAACAGAGAGTCCTCTTTGCTTTAATATGAAGCAAACAAATGTTCTTCTGTTAGAGTTAATGTGGTTCAGAAGAACTCAAACAGTGAATCTCACAGAAAAACTTGTGCATCGACGTGCTCCCGTCACAGCGCTCTCTCAGGAGGAGAGTTTAGTCACTGATGCAAAGTGGACAGATCTGATCGATAACGACGCTCTGAACATATATTTAATATAAAGTTATATTTTACAGACCAAAGTCTCTGGTAGTTCAGGAGCAAAGAGCAGGAGATGTCAGGAGTGACCGCTGCAGCCACTGCTTCAACCTGTCTCTGCTGAAAACTGCTCTCACTGAAAGTCCCGCCCTGCTCTGCTCTGATTGGATAAAACGGCTCTGGAGTTCGCCTGATTCGTTGAGAGCAGTGTCCATTTAATCCTGATATATCAGGGTCCCGCTGCCCTCCTCTGACAGAACGACGATCCAGTCCCACCAGTGAGGCTGGATTTTTTTGTTTGTTTGTTTTGTTTGTTTTTAAGAAATCAGGTCACATTTGCGACCCTGCTAGCTGTTGTTTTCACAGTCTCAGTTACAGTCTTAGGTACGCAAGTGAACTTTGACATTCCATCTGGTGCACTTTATTGTTTTTGATCGTGCATGCACACCTGCTTTTGTGCAGCCCTGTTTATTTCACTAACATTCATGATATCAGATGATATTTTTTATTTATTAGAGGAAAAGTGTCACCAGAAACAGTTTGAGTTAAACATTTAGTGTTCTATAGATTACACAGTGGTCACAATACATGACATCATATTCTGTGTTTCACTAACAATCATGTCTGTGAATAAATGTTACCTTTTCTTTATTAAAATAAGTAAAAAAAAAAAGAACAGTTTCAAGTAGGGTTGGGCTTAATCGTATCGTGTGTAATTAATCATCAGAAAAACAATCCATTACTTTTTGACACTTGATTAATACGATTAATGCGAACAGTCAGAGTCCGCTCGCTGCTCCTCTCAGCTTCAAATATGACTAACATTAAAAAGTTCTGTAATTTATTTATCTATCAACATAATTTAAAATCTGATGTATAATCTAAAGTCTGTAAATTTGACACAATTTGGAACAGATTTTTACAAAGAGCAAATCTTTCCCACTAAATTGGTCATGTGACCAGGACATAAGGGTGTCCAGGGACTCCAGGGGATTAATCGTCAAATTAATCGTTATCAGCTAAATACCTCAATTAATCATGATTTTTCTTGCCAATATTGCCCAACCCTAGTTTCAAGTACTTACTGTTAGATACAGTAGGGCACAAATATATTCTGTGACCACAATTATTTCAAATCTTAAAAAACAAATGTGTCCACATAAACCAACCTAATACATTTAATAATAATAATAATAATAATAATAATAATAATAATAATAATAGCGGCACGGTGGCTCAGTTGGTAGAGCTGATGCCTCTCAGCAAGAAGGTTGCTGGGTCAAATACCGGCCCGGGGACCTTTCTGGGTAGAGTTTGCATGTTCTCTCCGTGCATGTGTGGGTTCTCTCTGGGTACTCCTGCTTCCTCCCACAGACCAAAAACATGACTGTTAGGTTAATTGATAACTCTAAATTGTCTCTGGTGTGAGTGAGAGAGTGAATGGTTGTTTGTCTCTGTGATGGACTGCGACCTGTCCAGGGTGTACCCCAACCCTCACACTGTGACTGCTGGATATGGGCACCAGTGACCCAGTGTTCCTGAAAGGAACAAGCGTGTATAGATCAGGGGTGTCCCGATAGAACTTTTTCACTTCTGATACGATACCGATATTGACCCGACACCATAACAGTACAAGTCACACACTTTTCCCTATTTTGTAATGTAAAATCTTAGAAAAGTCTTGATCAAGTCAAACAGTGAAAAAGAGTAGGTATGAGAAAAACTGACCCATTTATTTTTAACCAATGGATCACATACATTTTAAACTGAAGAACATTCTACAGTTTAATGAATAAAATAAATTACAATACTCTGAAAATAAAATACTATAAAAACAAAATGTACTTTTAAAGTATAAAATAACAATTCAAAATCACTCCAGTTATTTTTTTTTACTTTCTGTCAGCCTGGTGCTGCTTTGTGGTGATAAAAACTGAAGGTGGGGATAAAACTAAACTGCACATTATTGTCTGTTCAAAGTTAAGAGTCCACAACTAATTTAAGTGACTGTGCCCAAAACAACGTGATCATTGCACTTAATCTTCACTAAAACAAGTGTGTAAACAGATTAATCACTCTACAAACAAGAGCAAAAAATAAATGGTAAGAATTAGTTATTTAAATTGATAGCTACCTTTCTTACTGCTGGATTTCCACATTCTACAGTCTGAGCATCATGTGGAGATCAGCCTCTCTCTCCTGCAGGGAGCAATTTTTATCACTGCTCTCATCATGTCGCGTTCATATCCAAAACAAAAGCTGCGCTCTCCTTTCTTCTGTCCATCAATCCCAGAGATAATCCACGGGCAACATTCTGCTGATATCAAAACCGTAGCATGCTGTCCTCGCTTCTGCCCGCTAGAACCACTGGAGTAAGAGGAGGTTCTGCTCAGTTGGAGCCATGGAGACACTTTTGGACCGAAGCCGAACTGAGCCAAAGTGCAAGGCTGTTGCCAGGGTGGAGAGTAGTTGTTTTTCCGGTTTAAAACATTCACGGTTCTGAGCCCCACGGAAAACTTATGCGTGACAACTTTGCACTTAGATTCAACTTTGTTTCTGATGACAATAGAAAGTTCTGCTGACATCGCTTCTACAGCTAGCTACTTTGTTAGCACTGAGCACAGCATGTTGTTGTGATCACATGAGCTCTGCATGCTGGAGCCAAGCGCTGCTGGATAGAAACACTGGAGCGGAGGCAGTGGACTACTGGATTGGACTGCTTATATCGGAGATTTTTTATGCAGGCCTATAAAATCCAATACTCATTTATTGGCTTATACCAGACCGATATTAATATTGGATCGGTACACCCCTAGTATAGATAATAGATGGAATAATAATAATAACAAACATTTTCCTTTGATTTTCGGATTGAAGATTTGCATCTTTTTTTTAATTAGTCCAAACAAAACAAACATTACAGACGAACATAGATATTGACCTACAAAATAACCAATTAGATGAGCAAAGAACACAAAAACCAATAAAGAGAAACAAAGGGTTTGAAAAAGAAAACAAATTAAAAAAGAAACAATCAAGATAAAACCCAGAACATAGATAATGTCACAACAAAATGGTGTGGTTTGACAGTCTGTTTAACAGAACAAAATAGTTTAAATACATCTTTTTATGGTTTTAAGTTTCAAAATAAAGCGTCTCACCGCAGTTGTATCAAAGCTGCATGCTTTCAGTGAGAAAAGTCTTTGTGTCGATAGTTTGTCATCTTTTCCTCATCTGCAGCGAGGAGCTCAGGAAGAACTTGTAGGTGTCCAAAAATAAATAAATATATATTCAACTCTTTATGTTCTAGTTTTCAAAGTAGGCTTGTGGAAATTTGGCGCTTCACCTCATATGACTCATACTTCATAATTTTTACATACAGTTATCATCTTTTAATACTGCGGTATAACAAAATACCTTCATAGTGCCCAACCCAATCCTAGTACAGTATGTGGGTGTTTATATATTTTCTTTCTTTGTTGCGTGTGACAGAAAAGAGTAATTTCTCTTGATTTAACAGAAAATGTTTTCATTTTTCCCCAGAACCCCGACGCCAACTTATCTGCAACAACATCCCTGTTCATCAACAGCACCCTCCAGAGGTTAAAGAGGAACCTGAGGAACCAGAACCCCCAATGCTTAAAGAAGAACCAGAACCTCTACAGATTAAAGAAGAACCAGAGGAACCAGAATTTTCACACATTACAGAAGAACCTGAAGAAGTAGAACTTGTACAGATTAAAGAAGAACCAGATGAGCCAGAACCTTCAGAGATTACAGAAGAACCTGAGGAATCAGAATTTCCACACATTACAGTTGAACTGGATGAATTTGAACTTCAAGACATTGAAGATGAAACGGAGGAACAAAGTCCCAGCAGTGATACGGACATCTCGTCCACGTCAGAGACTGAGAGTAACCCCGACACAGATCTGAAGTCTTTCCAGCCTGACAGATGTGGGGAGATGTTTTCATGCTCCACCGCCTTACATCAGCCCACAGGAGAGAAGCGCTTCTGTTGTAAACTTTGTGAGAAAGATTTTAGAACTCAGGAGAAACTAGGCAGGCATATGAGAGTCCACAGTGGGGAAAAACCATACTGTTGTGAGACCTGTGGGAAATGTTTCATTGATAGTTACAAACTGAAGCTCCACAAGAGGGTCCACACAGGTGAAAAGCCATATTCCTGTAAAACTTGCGAGAAATGTTTCACACAAAAGGAGAGCTTGAACAGTCACATGAGAATTCACACAGGAGAAAAACCATTTTCTTGTAAAGTTTGTGGGAAAAGTTTTGCTTTAAATGGGACTTTGACCAGACACATGAGAATTCACACAGGTGAAAAGCCCTTTCCTTGTAAAATATGTGGAAAAAGTTTCGCTCAAAGTTGTGATTTGACCAAACACGTGAGGAACCACACCTGTGAGAAACCTTATTCATGTAAGATATGTGGGAAAAGTTACACTGTAAATGCAAATTTGACCATGCACATGAAAATTCACACACCGGAGGAATTGCATCCTTGTGACAGATGTGAACGTCGTTTTCCTTGTAAAAGTCATTTAGTGATACACATGAGAAGCCATACTGGTGAGAGACCATATTCTTGCGAGTTGTGTGGGAAATGTTTCACTGTTAGCTGGGGTTTGACCAAACACATGAGAAGTCACACAGGCGAGAAACCGTTTCAGTGTGGAAAATGCGAAAAATGCTTTTCTTTTAAAAGTTCAATGGTGAGACACGAGAAGTCTCACAGGTGAGAAACCGATTTCCTGTGATAAGCATGAAAAAAGTTTCAGTTTTAAAATGTTTTCTGTGACGCATGAAAACAAGCAGATAAAGTTTGACGGGACAGATTGGACATCTTCAGTGTTGTCCTCACTTGATGACTGATTTAAGGGTCAAAATGTCATATTTGTGTTGTATAGATGTAGCTGTACAGGTCCTTCTAAAAAAATTAGCATATTGTGATAAAGTTCATTTTCTGTAATGTACTGATAAACATTAAACTTTCATATATTTTAGATTCATTGCACACCAACTGAAGCAGTACAAGCCTTTCATTATTTTAATATTGATGATTTTGGCAAAAAAGTCAAGAAAAAACAAATCACTATCTCAAAAAATTAGCACATTTCATCCAACCAATAAAAGAAAAGTGTTTTTAATACAAAAAAAGTCAAACTTCAAATAATTATGTTCAGTTCTGCACTCAATACTTGGTTGGGAATCATTTTGCAGAAATGACTGCTTCAATGTGGCGTGGCATGGAGGCAATCAGCCTGTGGCTCTYCTGAGMTGTTATGGAGGCCCAGGATGCTTCGATAGCAGCCTTAAGCTCATCCAGAGTGTTGGGTCTTGTATCTTAAGCTCATCCAGAGTGTTGGGTCTTGTGTTTTAAGCTCATCCAGAGTGTTGGTTCTTGTGTCTTAAGCTCATCCAGAGTGTTGGGTCTTGTGTTTTAAGCTCATCCAGAGTGTTGGTTCTTGTGTCTTAAGCTCATCCAGAGTGTTGGGTCTTGTATCTTAAGCTCATCCAGAGTGTTGGGTCTTGTGTTTTAAGCTCATCCAGAGTGTTGGTTCTTGTGTCTTAAGCTCATCCAGAGTGTTGGGTCTTGTATCTTAAGCTCATCGAGAGTGTTGGGTCTTATGTCTTAAGCTCATTGAGAGTGTTGGGTCTTGTTTCTTAAGCTTATCCAGAGTGTTGGGTCTTGTTTCTTAAGCTT